CAAAGACGATCGTTTGATTTGTCTAGAAAAGATAGACGCTTGCTATACCTCCCAATTACGCCCGTTTCCTCTATGGTATCTCATATAGTCATAAAACAGAACGCCAAACTGGATTTCAAGTAACATTTTCCAACGAGTGTGCTGTTTCCCCATTTCCCGAATTTGTAGCAGATAACCTCCAAACGCCTACATCGCTGAAAAGATCGTAATCAAGACAACGTAGAACAGAGAACGAACACTGGTCTCAAAAGAACAAGGAAGAAATGCATACCGCACACACGCTCTCTCTCCCTCTCTCTCACGCAGTCAACCCCATGGCGCGCAATCGACTCAACACCCCAGCGTCGCGAATAAGCCCCGTGCCTCGCTCCATCCACGCATCAAACCCTTCCAGGCTCTCGTTTCCCGGAAAATCATCCCAAATCTCGGCCTCGGTGTCCGGGTACCGTGAGTGAATGCCCCTCAGCGCATCGACGTTTGTCCACACCGGCAACCTCCTGCGTACGCAGCAGTAGTAAAAGTAGAGAATCCGGCACAGAGACTGTACTCTTGTGTGAACAGCCTGCTTCCTCGCATCATCGTCCGCCTGGTCGTACACGGCGGCGGCGTCACCTGGTACCACAGCCCACCACGACAACCGCCAGCGCAGCGTCAGGAGAATCCGACCGAGCCTCTGTAAGAACGGAAGGACCTTATCGTCGTCCATGTTCCCCGACTCGTGCAGGAGGCGCTGAAGGTTCCCGTAGGCCTTGACCTCGAGCTTGCGACACATGAGCTTCGAAAGCTGCGCGGCGAGGACGAGGTTCTCGGCCTCGAGCGGATTCTCAGGGTTGAGGGCTTGCTCCACAGGTGTGCCCATAGGCGTGAACTGCCTTTTGGAGACGTAGGAGAAACCCGCGCGGCTGGGCATATTGTTGACGAGGCAGAGTAAGGCGAGTGGATCGTCTCGCGACGTCGTCAGCTGGGTCATGCAGCGCTCCCAGTCGTCTGTCTTGGGATCGACGCGCAGGATTTCTCGGTCGATGAAGGCCTGGAAACTCCACTCGCTGCCGTCCATCTGCTGTCGGAGACCGTGGAGGTACTCGTGACACGCGTCGAGGTCTAGGACATAGATGGGGCGGCCGTCTTGGTGGACGCGGATATCGAAATGGCTTCGCGCGCGGTTTACCCTGTGGATGAGATTGTCGATTTGAATTTGCCTGGGGAGCTCTCTGCGGATGCGGGTCTTGTTGTCACGGGTCGGATGATAGATGGCGTGTTGGGCTACATGATGGTTAGTCTCCACGTGGAAGATATCGGTGCTCCAAGGATTGACTTACAGATGTAATTACACGTTCCCGCTTGAATAAGGTCCTCAAAATGGGCTCTGACACAGGGCCCGGGCCATCTTTGAGAGCCGCCGTGTTTGTCACATCCGGTACAAGAGCCCTGAGAGGAATCATCACTTCGATTGCACTGGGCACAGGTTAGTGAAAAGTACCACGGACTGCCTTGGTAACAAGTGCTTACCTTTTGCTTGGAGTGCTTGCAGCGAATGCACACCATCTTCTTGTTCCGCGTCTCCTTGGCCTGTCCACGAGAGACGGGGTCCATCGGGCCGTGGCGGCGCCCGCGAGCCGGGCCTGACCGACCGGGCCGGCCCACGAGGCTTTGTGTATCAGAGGATCTGCTACTGCTGCTGTTGCTCAACCTTCTTGGGCGGGCCACGATGGGCATGGGCTCTGTCACTCCTGACCTCCTCGGTGGCTCGGATGGGCGCAATCTCTGGAAGTGAGAAGCGCCAGATACAGACAGGAACTGAGCCGTGGTACGCTGAACGGGGCTTCTGCGTTGCGATGCAGGAGTGGTGCTGCTCATTGCCGATTGAAATCTGGGGACCTGTCCTCTGACGACTGCATCCATACGGACCGGGTCTGATCGTCTCCTGAATCTCCTACCCGGGACCAGAAGGCCACTCGCCGCGGTTACGGCAGGGTTCTGTGCTGCCGATGTATTTGGGACGCTCCGAGGTTGTGTTAGTCTAGGAGGTGCATACATCTCATTAAGGTAGTAGTCGATGGGATGCGTCTGCGAGGGTGAAGGCGGGTCGGGAGTCGCACTATCGCAATAGTCGCCCATGTGAATGTCGGGCATATCAGGTGGAACAATAACCAACGACGGGCCCAACTGGTTCGCGTTATACGGGATGAAGCCTTCGGGGAGCGATGGAGTGCCCCACATCAGACGGTCAAAGTCGTCAACCCTCCCCTCCCCGACATCAGAATCCCAACGATCATAGAAGGGCGAAGTAGGACTCAGACTCAAGCTGGTTGACAACGAAGTCTGATTCGCCAAGCCCGTCGACAGGGCGCTGACATGCGGGCCCGGGACGCTTCTTGGCGTATCGGCGGGAGCAAAGCCAATGTCGGAAAAGGCATCATCGACGCCGAGTACGGATGATTGCGGGGTGTTGGCCGCCGTCGCCGACGAAGCGCCAGAAACGGGACTCTCTGCCTGCAAGCTGAGATATGGGCATCTAGTATTCACGATGGGACTACTCTCAAGGGAGTGGTTCGCAGACAGGATGACGTCGGAGAAGGTGGTGCTCGGGCTGTTGATGCTGCCAAACAAGCCTTGTCCAAAGCTGTCATCGAAGCCTACACCGTTACTAAAGTCGCCAGCATGGCTGAAGACGACGGATTCCTCCTCATCGACGCCAGACGAGCTCGCCTGGCTGCTTGTTCGGGCCAGCTCCGACGACACAGGTTTAGCGGCGTCGAGCTCGATGCCATTGTCAATGGCGAGGTCGAAAGGGAGATCGTTCTGGTCTGCCACTGCCGCGTGGGTGGGCGGCCAAGTGGACGATAGAGCGGAGACGCCGGCTTGATGAAGATAATCTGGAAGCTCGGCGTAAAAGTCCCTGAGCTATGTTAGACAATGACTATGACGGTGTCTCGGGCAAAGGAGACAACGAGGCTTCAACTCACTTGATCAAGGACTCATCGTTTCTAGGAGCGTCGGTGCTGAGGAGGCCGGCGGGACCGATGGGCTGAGCAGAAGAGCCATCCTGGCCTGCTGCTGCTGCTGGCCATTGTTGTTGGCTGAAGGGGTCGTCGGCCGATTGCCCGGCCCATGTGAATGGGGTATTGTTCCTGATGTTATCCCAGTGTGCCATACCAGTGTGAAATGTCAAGATGACTTTGATGATGAATGCCTACTTTATCCCAAGAAGGCTGTGTTGGAGTGAGTTTGCCCAGAAGTGTGGCAAGAAGAGGAAGTGAGTGCCCCAAACAGGCTGGGGAGGGGATGGGAGGCCCTTCATAAGGTATTGTTTGCCTGGGTTGGCAAGACGAGGCTCTGCTGTTGCTTGGCTGGACCTTGATCAGATTGATTGGAGGCGTCTGTCTGTCCGTCTGTCTGTCTTGTTGGCATGTGGTTGACGAAGGGTGTGTGTAAGTGTGTGTGTAAGTGTGGGAACAAGCGGACGAGAGGAAAGCTTCCGTCACTGTGTGTCTCTGCTGTGGCATCTGCGCGGTGCTTTCCTTAGTGTAGCCCAGGGGACTAAATGGACCAACCAGACCCCTTAGGCAAGGGGAAACGTGCACGCCTTTCGGTGTGTTACAGCAGAAGTTGGCGCCGGGGAAGGGAGTTCCAGGGCTCCGATATAGGGCGGCAGATGGCGGCTTACACCGGTTCTTGGTTCTCTCGCACGCCTTTCGTCCAATGATTTAGACACTTTCTTTCCTCGTCCCAATGTTTGGTTTCCCTCCATACATGGCAAGGTTGTGATGTCCAAGAGGAGAGTACATGAGGAGGGTACATGAGGAGGGTACATGAGCAGGGTGCCAGCTAAGTACTTCCTCTCCACTACACCATCTCGTAGTCCATACTCCATAGAGACAGGGCGAGTGTGTGGTGGACCAAGAGAAGAGAGAGAGAGCCTGCAGAAGCTCACGTTGGGCAAACCGCAAGGCGCACCACCGACTCGGGACGCCTCGTCCCAAAGTTCAAGTATTTCCCACAAGCCCACAAGCGTGCCAAGTTCTTTGGCTGCTTCCGAGTCGCATTTATGGCATTTATGGCGTGTGTGTGTGTGGACTGTGGCCTTGATCCGAACATTGGAGGCATTATCCCACCCTCATCTACCTCGACTTTCCCTTCTCGTGCACTCGACCTTGGTCCCCTTCGTAGATCCATCCGATGCGGCGTTGCCGTGCTCCGTGGTCGGCGGGGTCAACCGAAAGACAAGAACTGGGCCGGGATGGATGAGGAGGGGAACATCAATTTTCACTTCTTCTCAGAATCATCGGACAAAGTCAATACCGTGCCACATGACAGGACGCGACACAAAACAGACCCTTCTTTGCTCCGACTAGAGGGTGAAGGTAAACACAGAATATCAGCCCTGTGGGTTCTCCCATGGACCACGGTAAGAGTCATACCTCACATCGGAGCTTTTCTTGTACCCCCCGGTTTTGGTGTTGTCTCTTATAATCCAGCCAAACCAGCCAGCCCTTTTCTCATGTTTCCCTCTTTTGAGTGACCGAAGCGCGCGCGTCATACTTCGCCCAGCTACAGTCTGTCCCGGAAACTCTCCTTTACACCATCTTTTCCTTTCGTCTGCCTCATCCGCGGAACCACAGCCGGGCAGCCTGATCTTGGCCCTCGGTTGCCTTCTTTTCTCCTGATCCCTGTTTCTGCATTCTTCTGTCCGTCACTGCTGCGGCTCGGCGGCAGCCTGCTTTGGATCTACGGCGTACTACCACTACGACTACGGCACTACCCCATCAAAACCCACCAGAGAAGAGAGGCATCAGAAAAGCCGAACGCGTCGGCGCCAGATTTGCCAATATATTGCTGCCCGACCTCGGCATATCTCTTCCTATCTCTTTGTTTTCTTTGGACCTCACTGTCCATAGGACATCGCCGACGTGCGACAATGCGGCTCTTGGTAAATAAAATGGCCTACTATCTGCCCCCCCCCCCCCTGGCCGGGTTACTCACACACGCACACACGCACAATGCGTGGGTTATACCCGGCTGACATGGTTACAAACGTACGGGGTGGAACATCGAATAAGCTGATGAGTACGCCTCTCCCTCTTCCGTGTCCGTAGGTAGTCAACGATGACGGTCCCCCGTCCCCCGTCTCGCCCTACCTGGCACCCCTCATCACCGCCCTGAACGAGGCGGGCCACACAACCGTCGTGGTCATACCCGACAAGCCGCTCTCCTGGATCGGAAAAGCCCACGCCGTCGGCAAGACCCTGACCGCAGAGAGCAGATGTCCAGCGTCGTTCTGTTCAGATGACGCCAACAAAACTTGCAGCGTCCCCGGCTGCGGCGAGACTGAAGACCGCACCCACCGCTGGCTCATCGTAAACGGGCCCCCGGCAAGCTGCACCCAACTAGGACTCTTCCACACGCCCGACCTATCGCCGCAAGACTTTGACCTCGTCGTATCGGGCCCCAACCACGGCCGCAACGCGAGCACCGTCTACGCGCTCAGCAGCGGCACCGTCGGCGGCGCCCTGGAAGCCGCGCAGTGCGGGCGCCGCGCCGTGGCCCTCAGCTTCGGGAGTAAAGACCCGCAACCGCCGGCGACCATCCGCGCGGCGTGCGTGCGGGCCGTGAAGCTCGTGGAGGAGCTCGCGAGCGAGTGGCACCAGTGGAGGTGTATAGCGTCAATGTGCCCATGGTCGCCGACGTCGGTGAGGCGCCGGTGAGGTTGACCAAGATCGCGGAGGGGAGATGGGTCACGGGGGGCTTGTTCGTTCCCGTGCTCGAGGACTCTGCCGCCGATCCTGAGAAGAAGTTGGCGATGTCGGCGCCGGCATCGTCGTCGCGTACGTATCAGTTTCGGTGGGCGCCGCAGCTTGGTGATATCAAACGACAAGCTGAGGAGAGTTCCGAGGGTGAGGACCTGTGGGCTTCGCTTAATGGCGTCATTAGCATCGCTCCGTTGAAAGCGAGCTTTACTGCCGTGAATGTGCAAGAATAAGCCTCGCTGGGGGAGGGGGGTCACCCACCCCCTCCCCAATTGCTCGGTGAGAAAGGATAGAATTAGAGTTCTGGCGTCCTTAGAGGTCCGTTTACGAACATGCGACATAAAGATGGCGGCTCTAGATTCGGACAAATAGACTTGGAGAAACAGATTTGAACTTGGAGGTATAGAGACGGGCTCACAATAACCCAAGTGACGAAGTAAAGACGAGCAGACTCTTAGATGGACACACAACCATTGGCGCTATCTTCAATAAAGATCCCACCGTAAATCAGACCCTCGTTCAGGTTACTGGATTGATACCCCGAGTTCACCACGTCATCGGTACCCGTGGGCTTCTTCAAGATGCCAATCTGGTACTGCCCGTCGCCGGCGAGATCAACCGGGACGACACCACCCTGCCTCGCGAGCGGGTTGTTGTTCGCAGAAAACCATATCTGGATCGTACTTAGAGGCAGACCGTCAGCCGGAGGTTCTTTTTCGCAAAGCACCAAACGTAGTTTGATCAGTCATTCGAGGATGAACAGAGGGCTAGGAGGAGTAAGAATGGCTTAGCTCACTTATTCAAAAAGTCCAACGTGAGCGCAAAGTTCTGCCACGACCCGTCCATCGCCATCGGCGTCGACCAGAGCAGCTCATTATCCCGATCCAACAGCTTGTACGTGTCTTTTGGTAACTCCGGCTGGCCGATGATGGTGCCGGTCTGGAAATTGAACTGATTCGCATCATACGTCGCCGTCTCGTGCCAGACATTCTGCATTTACCAAAAGATTATCAGATCGAATGCCACCAAAGTATGCATTCGCAACTTGGCCTTCACATCCTCCCGTCAATGGAGGCACCGAAAGAAGAAGACTCACAAGATACTCGTGCGTCAGATTCAACGGCCTCTCCAAATCCGACCTCGCACTAAAATGCAACGTCTTCACCCCCTCCCCCGCAGGACTCCCCTCATTCGTATCCTCCGCAAACAACAACCCCGCGCGCCGGAAGCCTCGCTGGTTCATGAAGACACTCGCATCGGAAATCGTGACCTCGAGAGGACGCTTCCTCTCCGCGACATCGAAGCGGGAGGACCGTGACCCGGGCCGAGTGGAGACCGGAGCCGGGCCCGGCAGGAGGATGATATCCGACCAGGACAAGTCCGCGCCCTTCACGTAGTCTGGATTATACGGATTCCACCCACCGCCGAGGGCCGTGTCAAAGTCTTGAGGTGTCGCTTTGGCGGGGACGCGGCCGTCGAAGATGAGTGGACATTGGATCGTTGCGGCGGTACAGGATGAAGGCGAGGCCAGAGCGGAAGGGATAGCGAGGAGGATAGGGATGAGGAAAGGCGAACGCATCGTATGTTTGGACTTTTGCGAAGTGAAAGGGCCGGCTTAATAGGAGGTAAACCTTTGGAGCAAGGTAGCGTTGGACATGTTAGGGTAAGTAAGTAAAGTGATATAGCTTAGTCAAAGGAGGAGGAAGCAACTCAGTTTGTCTGCTTTCCATGTGTTCTTCGAGAAGCTCGGTTGAATGATCAAGTTGATGGTCTTCTTGGTATGTCGACGGCGGCTACGTTCCGAGACGTTTGAGGCCAAGGGAGGAGTTGTTCCAGGTTCCTAGAGAGGCTACAGCCTCGCAGGTGCCGCTTGCTCCTATGGTCCCATATAGCCAATACTAAAAGTTCTCTGCCCACAGCTGGTACTTCAGTTGCAATTGATGATTGCATGAGATATCAAACCGAAAGCCAAACGCTGATGGCGTTTGTGAGATAGCTGGCCCAAAACTAGGACTGGCCAGTCTTGTGTTACGATGCAGTCAACGCGCTATCAAGCTGCAAGGCATTCATAGCTTCCGGAAAGAAAGCAACAGTTGAAAGTCCAGAGATCAACCCGTCGCTGAGCTCATCGTCAACCTCGAGTCGATCACACAACATAGCCCCGTGTAGAGAATATCGTTTGAGCAAACAGGGCTGAGCAGAACTTCATGAAAGATATTGATCAATGTCTCAAATCGCATCAGCTACTTGACCGCAGTTCGTCCGAGTGCAAAGTGGAAGAGACATTGCCAATTCCCGTCACGTGTGTCTCTGCCTGATGTCATCGGTGCAGATACGAAATACGATCCGGGGGACTCAGCCCCGGCTGCGTCCAATGGTGAGCTTCGGTGGGGTGCGCCGGATGGGGCCGTGAATGGCCGCTTGGTCGCTTGGCTGCTTGGATCCATTGCCCGGCGGTGATCGGCCTTGCACGGGATTGGAGTTGCTGGCCTCATAGTTGGTAGTCTTTGGGGAAGAAGACGTAAAGTTTGGGAAGTAAGGAAGTAGGGCAACTGGATGCTTTTGAATTTTGTATAAAGTATGGGCTTACTGTCTTCATTCTCGGCGACCACCCTACTAGATTGCAGAGACGAACGGCCATTTTCTCATACTCTCAAGGTATTGCAGCACTAGGAAGAGAACATTGAAGTCCCAAGATTTTCGTCATCACGATTGACTTGAAGCCAAAATCACGAACAGTCATAATGAACTTCATGGGCAGAAAAAGCGACGTCAAGCAAGAAGACGTGGCCAACGTCCCGCCGGAGCTATCAGACCTGCACTGCTTCACAGAAACGGGCGGCGTCATCACAACCAGTACGTCCGCATCTTTACCCCATCACTTACCTTACCTTACCTTACCTTGTACACTCCACATACATATCTTACACAGCAGCGATGCTTACACAGGGGCAGCAATGTTCGACATCCCCGGCTACCGCGTTACCCGCACCCTAGGCGCAGTCTACGGCCTCTCGGTGCGCTCGCGCAACATCGCCGCGAGCCTGGGCATGGTGATCAAGTCGCTTGCGGGCGGGGAGCTGCGGTGGTTCACGACGATGCTGTATAACTGCCGGAACGATGCGCTGGGGAGAGTGGTGAGCGAGTGTAAGCAGAGGGGGGGCAACGCGATTATTTGTTTAAGGTTCGATGCGTCGGATTTAGGCGGGTTCGCGCAGACGTGTGCGTATGGGACTGCGTGTGTTGTTGAGAAGGTTGAGGGAGGAGAAGGGGTTGCGCCGCAGCTTGCGGGGAGTTGAGAGAGTTTGTAGCACTGTAGAATGAGATGGGGTGGGAAGTGAAAGGAAAGGGGGAGAGGAAGGATGAGGTGAGGTTGTCGTGGGGGTTGAGCTTGGCAGGGTGAGATTTTTGTTTCACGGAGGATTGCGGTTGTGTGAGGTATTCTGAAATGGAGGCCTGAGGTAGCTGGGCAGAGGAGTTTTGATACCACTGCGTTGTAGTTGATGTTATTTTGAGAGGAAGCTGAATCGAGGACTTTGACAAGTCAAACATGTTTGGACAGTCAAGTATAGACTGCTCTTATACGGAGATCATTGAAACAGTGATGGTCTGTTGTCGATGATCTGCAGTTGATGTCGTGATGTTCGTGCATTGATGAGAACCAGATGGATTGCAGATGAAGTTGAGATGAGAAACAATGCTTAGCCAATGTCTGAGTGAAGAATATGCCTCTCTCTTACTCAATTGAGATGAGAACATGGACCTGATAGACCTGCCTCATATGGAATATTTGGCTTGCAGATGGAAGAAACGAAGGTGCAGATGCAGCTGGTCTTGAGGTACGGTAAGGTACCTTGAAGTGGCAGGGTCCGACTCCCGCGATAAGGCAAGATAAGGACCGCTTAGCTAAGACCTGCTGCATTCGAACAATTAAACGAGACACCCGTAGCACCCTGCTAACTGCCCCCGGCTAGCTCCGAAGAACCATTGAAACGGGCCAAGCCCACTTGCTACCGCGCTCCGCATCCGTCTCCCACAGCAGTGGTACTCGACATCCAGGCCACCTCCGCCAGGGGACCCGCCACTAAACCCAAGCCAATGGATGCACCTGTGGACCACCCGCAAAGCTCCCCAGCCCAGCACCCCGATAGGTGTACCAAGTGCTCTTTGTTCGTTCATTGACTCGCCTCCACGGCCTCGGCCTCGTCCACGTCCACTTCACGATCCTTCGCACCTACACAACTCTCCGACATTCCCCCTTCTCCTCCTTCACCCACGGGTCCTTCTCGTATCTTCTTGCGTGCTCGCCCTACCCTTCCGACGGCCCTCCTGCAATACCACCAGATACGAACCCTCCGGTCCATGGGGTGTCGTTGCGTCCTTTGATTTCCAAAAGAGGGCTGAAGCTGCCTCGAGACAGCATGCCGTTTCAAGTCACCGCGCAATCCACCTAGTTTCGATCCCATCTTTCTTTAGCTTTGCCATCTGCTGCCCTGCTGCCCTCTCGCCTTGGCAAAGCTTACCCCCCCGGACGGAAGAACCGAACCTACCGTCAAACCCTCCCGACCGACGAACTGATAACCACCCGACGAGACCTCTCCGTCTCCGTTCTCCGACACCATGGACCCAGCACCAAGCGCTTCCGCTGCACCCACCGCCGAGGACCCCAGGATGTCCCACGAATCATCCCTCTCGAGCGTGTCCACCACCAGCCTCGTCTTCGACCGACTGCACGAGCAAAATGAAAAGTCATACTCGTCTTCATCTTCCCAAAGACGGCGCGCCCCGTCCGCCTCGCGGCCCGCTTACGCCGACCACCCGGACGACGACGATGACAACGATTACAAAGAGTCCGACGCCAATGACCTCGAGACGGGGCCCTTTCTGGCGCCCACGACGGGCATGATGCGCCGTGTAGGCATGGACCGCGGGCTGAAGAAGGGGATATGCATACTCGCCGCCGCATTCCTCCTCGCATGGGGAGGTGCTCTGTTCGTCTTCTTGTCTCGCAAGTCATACCAGCACGGCAGTCAGGTCGACCACGACCCCTCTGCGACATCGCGCGGATCCGGCAAGCCGGTGACCTTGGACCAGATCATGACCGGCTTCTGGTCGCCCTACTCTCACTCCATAAGCTGGATCGAGGGGCCTAATGGAGAGGATGGCCTGCTGCTCGAGCAGGGTGCGCGAGGCAAGGATTATCTCGTGGTCGAGGACGTCAGGGCGGGCAAGC